GTGGAGCTCGCACAGAAGTCAGCACGGCACCTGGAAGTCTTTCTCTGAGTGTGGTCTATGGGCCCACCCAGGAGTCCCATCACACCGCTAATCCAGACGCAGGGAGGACGCTCCGAATGAGCGTTTTACATAAGCCTGGGAGCATTCACACAGTGCCAGCTGCCTAAGGTTCTTGTGAGGATTACATGAAAATCAGTAAAATAATAATACCTGATAATAGCTGACGTGACTCCCAGGGGATATAAAGGCCGGATGCCTCCCTCCACTCCATTCATTTTAGCATTCTTCTCCTTTTAGGAGCCGGATATTAAAGTTTAGAGGCCAATCAAAAGCAGCCACATATATGGGGGAAATCAGAAAGTCACTGCCCGTGCCCAAGGAAAGACACAGCCTCAGCTAAGACCTGGAAAGACCTTAATCTGAGGCTGATCCTTGGCTTTTTCGCTGTGAGTCAGAACCCACCTATGTCAGAACCTACATCACTCACATGGGGCACATACACAGCAGTAATAAAGTGAAACAGAAAAAAAAAAAAAAATTCTTTTTTTTTAAATATATTTTATTAACTTTTTACAGAGAGGAAGGGAGAGAGATAGAAAGTTAGAAACATCGATGAGAGAGGAACATTGATCAGCTGCCTCCTGCACACCCTCCACTGGGGATGTGCCTACAACCAAGGCACATGCCCTTGACCGGAATCGAACCTGGGACCCTTGAGTCCGCAGGCCGACGCTCTATCCACTGAGCCAAACCGGTTTTGGAAGATAACAATTCTTGATCTTTACTTGTGGTAAATAAATAATAAAAAGCATAAAGCATATATATATATATATATATATGTCAAAATGACAACTTTTTTTTTTAATGAATAAATTGGAGATGGCCACATAACCACGAAACGACGTAACCCGAGGACTGCCTGTATTTACTTATTTGTTCCATCCCTGTCACATGTAGCCAGTCTGTGCCCCAGCCAGCAAGCACTCGCAGCTCTGTGGGCCACCACTAATCTGCAGGGAGAGGGAGTGCTTCCGACGCCTCAGCATCGTGTCAGCCTGCTGATGCTTTGAAGAAAATGTTACACTTTCCCCAACAGGAGTGTTGTCCACAATGAAACTGCCTAAAATCTCTCTAAATGGAACCAAATCTTACTTTCATATGCTCTGGGAGCAAAGCAGGTCAGGAAGCACGACTTTGGTCCTGTTTTTCCTGGGGCAGATGCAGTTGGGGGTCTCCCTAATCTCACCAACTCGAGATGAAATAACAAATTCATCCATTTCCAATACACCTGGAATTCAAATGATGGAGGAGGACAAGGTATCTCAATTGAAATTCTCATCTAGAAAAGGAGAGGCACCACACAGCTCCCGCTGGCTGAGGTCAGTGTTTCCCAGGCTTCAATGTACACGAATCACCTGGAGATCTGGGGACGTCTGTTCCACCTGCTCTGGGGTGAGGCCTGAGGTCCCGTATTCCCAACAAGCTTTCGGAGGATGTGACGCTGCTGTTGGAGGGCTGTGTTTTGAGTAGCAAGTCCCTAAAGTATTTGTCACGCTTATTCCGGTGGTCAGCAGGGCTATATTAAATTGTCCACCTGAAAAACGTGTGTGTGGGGGGGTTAGCCTTTTATTTCTTGCTTTTGCAAACGCCCACACAGAGAGAACAGGGAACCTCTGAGAAGCACTGGTGGACACACAATACACTGCACGCTGCTGAAGATGGAACTCGGCAATTACAGAAAAGAGGAAGGCCACTGAGGTCCAGAGTCTAGGAGTGTGAAGAAGCCTGCGGGCTGGGGGAGCCTGGAGAAACTTAAGTCAATGAACAGAGTTTAAGTATATTTGTCTGCTTCCAATTTCCATTGCAAATGTGATTAGTCTGCTTGAATAAATAGGAGTATGAAAGAAAAACGAACCACTGGTTATCAGACTTATTTTATAATTTCTTCTGCCACTGGCCTTTTTGTTCCTAGAGTATTTTATTTTTTAGTATATGTGCTGCCGAAGCAAGCACCCTAGAGTATTTTATTTATTTATTTATTTTTATTATTAAAAAACAAAAAAAACCCAAAAAACATTTTGTTGATTTTTTTACAGCGAGGAAGGGAGAGGGATAGAGAGCCAGAAACATTGATGAGAGAGAAACATCAATCAGCTGCCTCCTGCACACCTCCCACTGGGGATGTGCCTGCAACCAAGGTACATGCCTTTGACCGGAATCAAACCTGGGACCCTTCAGTCCGCAGACCCACGCTCTATCCACTGAGCCAAACCGGTCCCGGTGCTCCTAGACTACTTTAAAGCAGTCAGCCATTATATCATGTCAGGGTGCACTTCTAACAGATAAGGGTTAAAACAAACAGCAAACAAACAAACAAACCACGGTGTCATTATCACACAAAAATGGACACAAGTAAACACAGAATTAACTGTAATTCCTTGACATCATCTAATCCTCAGTCCCCACCCAGATCTTTGGATGCAGGCAACAGGTGAGTTCCTTGGCCAGCTACTCCAGTGCCCCGGTTTACTCCCCTTGCTATAAATATATTCCTCCCCAAACAGTATTTTTTGGCCAATTTCATTGGGGGGGGGGGGAGGGCAGTGTTTGCAAAAACAATGGCAGAAGCTTTAGGATCAAACCCTTTGCCTCTGGCTAATTCTTTAGCCTTGAGGATGGGACAGTAAACGGAATCCCAGTCCTGAGGATTAACCCCACCACAGGCTGGCAGCCCTAGTGATTTTGACGCAAGTTGCTTCAGGAGAGCCCTGGGGGATCAAGCTTCCCAAACTTTTCTAGCTCCGAAACCTTCTCACTTCTCCCAGGCACCCTCACATTACCGGCACCACAGCCCCCCCGCCCCCCGCTCCCAACACACACACACACACACACACATACACTGTTCATCAGTGTATTAGCTGGGTTGCATGTGGTGATCTGTCTCCACCTCTCCAGACTCTGGCCTCCCACGGAAGTGTGCTCCTGCCTTGCTCTCAGCCTGCCCCAGGCGCGGAGCTGGGCTCTCTCACTGCCTGTCCCCAAGAGCCTCAGGAAGCAGCTGGGGCAGCCTGCCGAGTCCTATCACTGCAGAGCCTGGTTCTATGCTGTTTTATTTATTTATTTATTTATTTATTTATTTATTTATTTATTTATTTATTTATTCATTCTATGCTGTTTTAACAAGACCCAGGATAGAAGTTCAACCTTGGGTACACCACCTAGGTTCTATGCTGTTTTATTTTTTTATTTTTGTATTCTTTTTTAATTAAATTATTATATGTGTACATATCTTACCATTGCCCCCCCCCCCCCATTCTGTTTTAATAAGACCCAGAATAGAAGTTTAACCTTGGATACACCCTTAGCTGTTCCCCCTCACAGTCCCGCCCGCATCCTGGCCTGAGAGCACAGGCCTGGGCCGTGCCTCCTCCTGTCTCCTTGCTTTTCTCTAAAGCTGGTGCTGTTTCTGTCCGTGAGGACGGTGGTGGTGGTGGTTGGGGGGTGAGGCAGTGGGGGGCGCGTGGACCCTTGCTCAGTGACAGTCCTGAGCATCTGATAGACGCTGAACCATAAGAGACCACACAGTTTCCTGGCCAACTGCTTGGCTGCCAAATCCCCAGCCTGGGACTGAGGTCGAGCCTTGGGCCCACACCCCACATCCCACGGTGCCCAGCCTGCACAGTGACCGCAGCCTTCACTGCGACACTCAGCGTCCAAGTTCCGACTCGGGTGAGTCAGGGCTCTTGTGGCTGCGCGACAGGAATCACACGCCAAGCGGTTTCAGCAAAAGGGTCTGTTTATTGGGAGACTCGGGGAGCAGCCTGGCCTCGGGGTCTCAGGAAAGGCAGAGGGAGACAGGGCTTCCTTTCGTCCTCCTCCTCCTCCTCCTCGCCTCTTCTCTGCGGTGCCTTGTTCCTCTGAGACCCCCACCCCCACTCCCACCCCAGGGGCGAAAAATGTGGCCCCACCTTTAGGCCTCACAGAGGTGCTGACCGCTGCTGCCCCTCGGGAGCTGCCTGAGCTCAGACGCCCGGTCACCCCAGGCCGATTACATGGGGTGTCGGGGGCGGAGCCTGGGTGTCAGAGGTGCGAGCACCTGAGTTATTGCTCAGGATGGAACTCAGGCCAGAAGACTCCATGGCTGGGGCGGGGAGCGGGGGGGGGGGGGGGGGGGGGGGGGCGGCCGTCCTGTAAACCATTTAGGGCCACACTCGGGCCCCTCTCTGGCGCCCCCTCTTGCCCGAGGCTGGATGGGCTTCTTGCAACAGCCGTTGCCGAGACTCCGCATGGATGTGCAGCAGCTGTCCGGCCAGGGCCCACACCAATGACCCACCGCAGCTCTCCTCACCCCCCCACCCCCCCAGCATCCACGACAGTCATCTTGTCAGAGTTCATCTCTCAGAGCCAAGCTCGGCGAAGGCTGGGTTGGAGAGGTGGTCTGTGACAGTGGGAGAGGTGGTCTGTGACTGGGTGGGAGAGGTGGCCCACAAAGCGGTGGGGGAATCAGAAGGAAGCCGGCTGCAGCGGGCTCGCGCAGCCCATCCCCACGTGGGAGAGGGAAGGCGGTGGCCAGGGACAGACTGGGGGCCCGGGAAGGACGTTCGGGGTGGGAGAGGCCTGAGCAGGAGGGAGGAGCGGGTCTGGGTTCACTTCCCTGCACTCCTCTGGCTAAGCGGGTGGGCCCCTGTCCCAGGGCACACCTAGGCCCGGCTGGGACTGCGTCTCTCTTTAGGCCCAGGGCTCCCCGACCGGGGGCTGCTGCCCAGTGCTGGGCCCGGCCTCAGGGTGGGGCCTCCCATCAGGAGGTCCTGGGGCCAAGCCAAGGCCAGGCTGCAGAGGTGATAGGACAGGAGCCCCGGTCAGCCTCGGCCGCTGCATAACCCACCCTGGACCTGTCCCCCCGTCCTATGCCTCACACCCCCGGGGACCAGCTCGGACCTCTCTGAGCCAGCCCCGACCGGCCATGCCCGGGACACATGCAATGACACCACGCTGGGGGCTGGGTGTTCACTTCTCTTTCCACAAAGAACCAAGCACACAGTCTGGGCGTGGCAGGGAGACGGCCGGGCTGGGGCCTGGGCATTACACGCCCAGGGGGGCCTTGGAGGAGGCAGACAGTTTAAGGATTGGTCTGAAAGTCAAAAGAGAGGACAGCTGGTTAGTGGGGTGAGCAGCAGAGGGGGGAGGAGGGGCAGGGGCTGTGGGGATCAGGGTTAGGCTCAGGGGCTGGCCAGTGGGCTCAGAGCTGGGCCCCCAGAGCAGCCCTGCCCGGGGCCCGGTCCCTGGGGCGGGGGGAGGAGGCTGTGCGGGTGTCCGGGCGGTGCTGGGCGTGCTGCAGGGCTGAGACCTGAACGCAGAGGCAGCGGGGCCAAGGGGCTTGGTCTCCAGGAACCTGCTCCCTCATGTTCAGTGTGTGGACATCCGTCATCCCAGCACTGCCTCCTCATGCGGGGGCTGTGAGGAGCCCAGGGCTCTGGCCCCCCCCCCCCGGGGCGCTGGCCACCAAGCTCCACCTTTATTGCTCTGCCCGCGGGGCCCAGCGCGGTGCAGACGCTCACACAGCCCTTCAGTGAGAAAGTAAGCCTCCAGCGAAAGGCCGGCACCGGGACTGTGGGGAAGCACGCAGGGGCTGGGAGACTGTGGCCCGGCCCATGCCTGCCCCTGGCCCTGGCCCTGTGTGTGCCCATGTGGCCTCTCTCTGAGTGTCCGGCTCCCGGCCTCAGAGCGAAGGGTGTGTGTCTGTGTTGGGGACAAGCTGCTCAGAGCCCTGACCGAGCTCGGGGGACGCCCTGTCCCCCACGGGCCCTGCCCAGAGCGCTGAGGGAGGGGCTGTGGCGCGCCCGGCCAGGCTGCTGGCGGGGGCTGGCGGCTCAGACGTACTCCCTGGCTGTGGTGGAGGGGCCCGGCCGGTAGGGCTGTGGGCTGCCGTTGACTCTCTCAGGCTCGGGGCACGTGCAGCAAAGGAAGGAACCGCCCAGCATGGCCAGGCCGGCCGCGGCCCAGCCCACGAACAAGGCTGGGCCGAACTCGTACCTGCAAGGAGTAGGGAGGATGCCATCAGGTATGGCTGCAACCCAGGCGCTCGGCGTCACCAGGGGCTCCTACCCGGGCCCGGGCTGGGGTCCGGCAGGTGGTAGGAGCTGGGACCGGGGCCTCACAGGCCCGAGCAGCCTCTCTGGATGAGCTGGGATGAGCACTCAGTCTTCCTCCGTGGCCACCCCAGCAGGGTGACACTCTGCAGGGTGACCCAGGCCCATGGGAGGCTGCTCCCTGCAGCCCCGGGCCCTTCCTCACCTGGCCAGTCCAGGGGGAGGGGAGGGCCTGCTCACCCCACTAATCCCTGCTGCCTCTCTCGGTCACAGTCGGACCCTTAGAATCCCAGCCAGGGCTCCCCACTGCCCTCTGAGAAGGGCAGACCCTCCACCTGGCACTCCAGGCTCTCCACGTCTGGGCCCTGCCCACCAGCCTCCGCAGTGCCTTTGCCCGAGGCGCCCCCTCCTGGAGCATCTCCTGATCTGCGCCTCCTGTGCTCCGCCTTCAGGAGGACCCGGCTGGGAAGCTACCTCCTCCGGGGCCTTTCCCAGGCCCCTCTGTGCTCCCCTGAAGTGCACGGACTCGCACGAGGTGGCCATGCAGCACCAGGCTTGCTCAAGCCATACACCGAGGTCTCCTTTTCCTTCCCGCTCCACACCTCTGCCTCCTCCAGGGAGCACTCCCTCCCAACTGCTACAGCCCAGGCATCTTCTCTCATCCTCCCTCCACCCCCCGCAATTCCTCCCCTCCCACCCCCTTTCTCTCCCCGCCTCCTCACGGCCTGTGGGATGTCTGGGATTGAGGTTGTCGCGTCCTCTGCTCCTGGCAGAGCTGAGAGGGGAGGGAGGAGCCACAGGGGGCCGGGTTCTTCAGCTCGCCATTCAGCCCCCACGCCCTTGGTCTCCCGTGTCCTGACCCTTCAGCCTTCGAAATATCTCTGACCGACTCCTCCCCGCCAGCCCCCTGGCCCATGCCCTCTGCTCCAGACCTCTGCAATAGCATCTACTGGCCTCGCCCCTCTCCCACCATCCTCCACCCCACAGCTGCCTGAGGAGCAAAACCTTCCCACGGCTGCAAGGCCCTCGGCGATCTGCCCCGCCTCGTCTCAGCGTCACCCACCCTGCCCCCCGCCCAGAGTAACGCTGCCTCCTGCGGAAATCACAGCAGCGGGGCGCGGCTGAGTGCTCCCCGGGCCCAGGCACGGTGCTGAGTCCCTTAGGGCATCGAACCCTCAACCTCGGGTCCTCGGGTCCCAGCCCCTTTCACAGGGAGGTAATCTGGCACAGGAAGATTAAGGAGCCGAAACCGGTTTGGCTCAGTGGATAGAGCGCTGGCCTGCGGACTGAAAGGTCCCAGGTTCGATTCCCGTCAAGGGCATGTACCTGGGTTGCGGGCACATCCCCAGTAGGGGGTGTGCAAGAGGCAGCTGATCCATGATTCTCTCTCATCGATGTTTCTAACTCTCTATTCATCTCCCTTCCTCCCTGTACAAAATCAATAAAATATATTAAAAAAAAAAAAAAAGATTAAGAAGGAACTAGCCCAGTACACAGCAGCACGTGCAGAGCTGGGAGTGAAGCCCAGAGCCAGACACTTAGCTCCTGGTGTCCTCACAGGCACCCTGCCCTGTGGAGGGCCCAGCCCCAGAGAGCTTCCTGGTGACAGCACCTGGGGCCGCGCCCTGTGCCCCTGATGCACCTGCAGGATGCGGGGAGGGATGGCCAGCCTGACCCCTGGCCCAAGCCATGTCTTGGCACTCACCTGGCGTTGACAGGGGTGCTGGGGTTGAAGAACTCCTGGGTCACCAGGGTGGCATACCACGAGACTGCAGTCAAGGTGCAGAGGCCTGAGGACAAAGGAGCAGGAGCTCAGGTCTGCCCCCTGCTGGCCGCGGGGTGGAGAAGGAGCCAGGGGCACTCACCTGCCAACAGGAAGAGGGCCCCCCCAGAGACAGCAATGCGGCCCTTGGCGATGGGGTTGCTGTCGCCGACCCGGGTGCACTTCATGCCGACGACGCTGAGGATCATGGCCACGAAGCCCAGGAGCACAGCCAGCACCATCAGGGCTCTTGCGGACTGGATGTGACCTGGGGGCAGGAAGGGCTGAGCCGATGGGGGGGGGGCAGGGGAGCGGGTGGATGGGGAGCCCGGATGGGAGGGGCTGGAGCAGAAGCTGGAAGCTGCTCTGGGACTGACTGCCACGGGCAGGAGTGAGGGTAGTAAAGGCAGGGTGGAGCTTCCCTGTATAACCCTCTCGCTTTCAGGCTCCTCTGGGGGACCAGGCAGCCCTCTCAGCAGCCCTCTCCGGCTGGGACTCCCTCTGGGGCCTGCCCCTGCCGAACAGCAGAGGCGGCTTCTCCTGAGGCCTCTCAGGTTCGGCGAACGGAGGAGCGGAGGGCAGCGGAGGCCAGCTCGGCCCAGATGGCCCGTAGGCAGGGATGCCAGCCCCATTGGCCATCGTGATGATTGCCACCTTCCCCTCTGCCCTCTGAGTCACCCCTGCAGCCATATGCCTGCTGCCCGGCCAGTTCTGGGCTGGGGACAGATGGCTGGTCGCTGGGCTCTGGCCTGTGGGCCCCAAGCCAGGGCCAAAGCTGCAGCGGTGCCTGCTTATGAGCCAGCTTTTCAAGGCTCAATTCCAAACCCTGGGAGGAAGCAGAACAGCTAGAGGGCCGGAGCACATGCGTGTGTGCATGCGTGTATGCATGCACTTGTGCGTTCGTGTGTGTGTGTGTGTGTGTGTGTGTGCGCATGAGGATGCTCTCCTAGCTGGCGGGGCCAGCATGTGAGTGTGCTTGCTGTCTGCCTACCGAGCATGGGGAGAGGGGGAGGGAGGGTCTTGACGAGTACTCATCTCACTGAACCCTCCCATCAGCCTCTGCTATGGTCCCCCCTTTACACATGAAGACGTAGGAACATAAACAACACAGACTGATGAACAGGAACAGACCCAGAGATAAGGAGCCATGGGTCAGACTGTCGGACCTCAGAGGGAGGGTGGGGATAAAAGGGAGAGATCAACCAAAGGACTTATGTGCACCCATATGAGCCTAACCAGTGGTCAAGGACAATAGGGGGTGGGGGCATGAGAGGTAAGGGTGGGGGATTGGAATGGGGGATTGAGGATAAATATGTGATACCTTAATCAATAAAGAAATTAAAAAAAAAAAAAAAGATGGAGGAACACAGAGAGGGAGGGCCAGCGGGCTTTGCAAGGCTGCAGTGGCAGAGCTGGGGTCTGGATGCCTGGCTGCCAGAACCTGGACCCCTGCCCCCTGTGGGCACCCAGCTGGCCTAGATTTCCAACAAGCGCATGGGAGGGGGGGAGAAGGGGGTGAGAGTGGATCCCAGTGCGGATGGCGGACTGTGTGGAAGCTTGCTCGGGCCCTCCCCCTCCCCACTCTCCCCCCCACCTCCGGCCCCAGCCCGGCTGGCGGGAGGCCTACCTTCCAGGGCGAGCAGCGAGTCGTAGAGCTTGCACTGCACCTGCCCGGTGCTCTGGGAGGCGCAGGCCATCCAGAGCCCCTCGTAGAGGCCCACGGCGGTGATGATGGCGTCGCCCGCGTAGGAGGACTGCTTCCACTGCGGGAGGGCCGTGCTGGCGATGATGCCCACCCAGCCGCCCAGGGCCAGGAAGTAGCCCAGGAGCTGCAGGCCCGAGTTGGCCATGGCCCAGGGGAGGGGGCTGGGGTCCCGGAGCTCAGGGCCGGGCCAGGGTCCCCGGGGGAGCCGGGCTCATGGCCGGGGGAGCCAAGCCGCCGGGCGGGGTGAGGGGCAGCAGCGGGAAAGGCTGAGGAGAGGTGGCAGCCCGGCCAGGCAGCAGCAGAGGCAGCGGCTGGGGCTCTAGAATGCAGGGGGAGGCCTGGCGCTGGCATGGCCAGGGGCCCGCCCACTGCAGCCGGCTGAGCCGGGGCAGGTCCCAGCTGGGCTCCTGCCCGGCCCCCTGGGGCGGGGGGTGGCTGTGGAGCAGGTGGGTGCTCTGCCCCACCCCCAGGGACCGAGGCGGGAGGGCTGGGGGAGTGACCCTTGTGTCCTCAGGGCCTTTCTGCCAGGAAAACCCCTTTAGGAACCTGATGCCAGTGCCTGCGATTCCCCTAATTCCTCCCCGAGCTGCCCCAGCCCCGAGGGGAATGACTTTGCTCCTGGGTGGCTGCACTGACCCAAGGGTTTCTGCGCTCTCTGCCTGTGGGACAGAAAAGAAATGGAATTCCACCGAAACCGGTTTGGCTCAGTGGCTAGAGCGTGGGCCTGCGGACGGAAAGGTCCTGGGTTCGATTCCGGTCAAGGGCATGTACATTGGTTGCGGGCACATCCCCAGTGGGGAGGGTGCAGGAGGCAGATGATCCATGATTTTCTCTCATTGATGTTTCTAATTCTCTATCCCTCTCTCTTTCTCTGTAAAAAAAAAATAATAAAATATATTAGAAGAAAAAAAAAGGAATGGAATTCCAAGGTTCTGCCGGTGAGGCTGGAGGAAGTCACCAGGGAGAAGAACTCTTTGGAGAGTACTCTGAGGAGGATTTGGAAGGACGGGGCTGGGGAAGGGGTGCTGGAGAGAGGGTGTCCTGGGTACCTGGGTGCCACGCACATAAAACCAGGGAGGCCAGAGCAGGGGATATGCTCTGTGGAGTCTGTTTATGACATGAGCAGGCAGAGAGGGACCCACCAAGGCTGGGCCAGACCTGGCTGCTGGTCAGGAGGGGCCTGGCAGGGAGGTGGGAGATAGCACCGGCTTCTGACGTCAGCCGAAGGAAGGCAGCCTGTTCTCCCCTCTCCACCCCTCCCTGTTAATCCCCTTCTGGCTGGCTGAGCAGCTCCTGCTGGGGCCCCCAGCTCCAGAGCGGCCGGTGGGGAGGGAGCCTCGGCCTCTGCACATTCCTGGGGTTCAGGCTTCCCTCTCTTCCCGCCCACCTTCCCCCTCCCTCTCCCACCCCAGCTCCGCCCTCTGGAGCAAGAGAATATTTAACTCTCCTGGACCTCATTAGCAATCCCCTCACGTTCAGTTCAGTTGAGTTCAGTTGTGGGTACAGGGGGAATGTCACAGCCCTGCCCCCACTCCTGCCAGCTCCCTCCCCAGCCGCCCCCTTCCTCAGAGCCACCTGCTTCGGCTGGACGGAGCTGGGTGAAAGTAGGGTCCTGCTGTTGACCACCCCAGCTTCCTCCCCCACAGCCCCGGCCCCCCTCCTCGGGGACCCGTCCCCAGCCTGCACCCTTGCATTCTTCACGTGGCTATGCAAACGAGAGGGTGCCAGGCCCTGCACAGACAATGGCTGCCCTGTGTGTCCACCCAAGGCGTGGGCCCCTGGTATGGCCTGGACCCCGGTCCTTGGGAGCTGGGGGAACAGCCAGCCCTCTGAAGGGTCAGGGGTGGGTGCTGTTTGGCCTGCGGTTTGGAACACTGTGGCCCCCTGTGGACCTCCCTGCCGGAAAGACCAGAGCCACCTGGATCTGTGTGCTTGCGAAGGCCTGGGGTCCCAGAAAGTAAGCAGAAGGTCTAAGCCAGGGGTGGGGAACATCTGGCCCGAGGGCCACAGAAAGCCAGTGAACTCACTTGGTCTGGTCCTGCCTGGACATTAGGGGTGAGTTAATTAAATGTTTGACCAAATACAGCAGGCTCATTTTCTTTTTCTTTTAAAAAATATATTTTATTGATTTTTTGCAGAGAGGAAGGGAGAGAGAGATAGAGAGCTAGAAACGCCGATGAGAGAGAAACATCGACCAGCTGCCTCTTGCACAGCCCCCAATGGGGATGTGCCCGCAACCAATGTACATGCCCTTGACCGGAATCGAACCTGGGACCCTTCAGTCCGCAGACCGGCGCTCCACCATTGAGCCAAACCGGTTTCGGCCAGCAGGCTCATTTTCAAGTGGACAATTTCGTAGGGCCCGTGAATGATGGCACGCATACCCAAACGGCCTGGGTGGGAAAAAAGCTTCCCCACCCCAGGCGGGAGCAGTGGTAGAGAAGTCGGTGCCGAGTTCAGACTCCTCTTCCCCCACAGACAATGCCGAGGCAGCACAGCCAGGGGGGTGAGGACACTGCTGGAGCCCAGGGCGGGCACGCCTGGCACCCACGGAGCACCTGGCGCCGGTCTGTATCCAGATCACACAGAAACCGAGGGTCAGAGCCACACAGGCCCTCAGGACCCGGCTGCCATCCCGCCCGCTGCTGAGGGAGGGAGCTGAGAGCCAAAGAGGCCACGTGCGTGGCTGTCTCCAGGACAAAGGTCTCCGTCTCTGAGGCCTGGGACCAGAGACATCTATGGTCCAGAATGACGCTCACCCCCCCCCCCCCCATTCTCCCACAGTCCTCTGTCCATCTCTTCTCTTTGTTCTTTGAGGTCTTGAGTCTGTTCTATCCAAATGTCCCTCATGGCCTTCCCTCACCAATGTCCCAGGGCCTTTCAGGGCTCAGGTTTTGCTCCTGGAGTGGAGTTCCCTACCTGGTGGAGCCTCTCCGCTCGGTCCCCCCCCCCCCCCCCCCCCCCGCAGGGGCCTGCACCCCAGCCCAGGGACTCCCAGGCATGCCGAGAGCCCAGCCTCCGTGAAGAGCTAACTGGAAACGGCCTGGGGCGTCGCACCCCACTGTTTGACAAGTGTTTTCACATACATTACAAGAGGCTTAGGGCCGAGCTTCGCCTCTGCCCCTGAAAGCTGCGTGACACGAGGAAGTCCCTTAGCTTCTCTGGTTCCTCCCGGAAAAGCAGCGCTAACAGCCCTTAGCCCGTCTGGCTCACAGCGGTATTTACGGAGATCAAACAGTGGGTGAGGAGTGCTTTTGGAAAACACAATGTTCCTGGAAAAGATGGCCAATGAGAGCTGTGTTTCCAAAGACTCCCTTCCTGCCCTCGTCCCGCTGTGGGTGGACTGACTGTGGCAGAAGACCCACTGCCACGACTGCCCGGCAGAGCCTGGCAGAGCCTGGCAGAGCCCGGCAGAGCCCGGCAGAGCCCGGCAGAGCCCGGCAGAGTGGGCGCCGAGTAGGTCTGTGCTGATGGTGACCGGCTGGCTTGAGGATGACATGTTTTTGCTTCCCTCCCGGTGGAACGCGGGCGCCCTTCCCCGGGTCCCCTCCCCGACAGTCAGCAGGGTCTGACTCAGTTGGGTGCCATCCAGCACATTCTCTGCAGCCACCACCTGAAGCACCGGAGCTGGTCTTACTGCCCCCAACCAGGTCAGACTTCCCTGCTGAGCCACAGGCTTGGGATGGAGAGGACTTGCCCCAGGCCCCACAGCTAGAAAGTGGTGCGGCAACAATGCCGCATCCCCTCCCCCCGCCCTCACCCCATTTCCCCCCTCCCTCCACCACAGCCATCCTGCCTGCCCAGCCAGGCCGGGCGCCCTGACCCCGGATCCCGGAATGCCCTGCATATTTCTGCTCACAGATCTTGGTGTGTTATTTGCCTCCTTCCGAGGACTGAGGACTGAGGATGGGGCGAACCTCACGGCCCTATTACCAGCTCACTGCTGTGCCTCACACCTGACCAACTCACAACCGTGAGCACAGGCTCGCAATGTCTGTGCTGAGAGCTCTGCCCACTGCCTGTGCCAGAGACCACCGTCTGAGTCCACATCCTCCATGTCTGCTGAGCTGCCTCCACCCCCTCTAGTGCTTGCTCTTCCTCTGGAGCAAACTCCCGCATGGCCCCCATGCCTCTGTGTGTGCGTCACCGACACGGATGAAGCTATGGCAGCCGCATCTTGCCTGGAGTCCTGCCGTCATTTGGCCTTTCGCGATTTACTGAGCCTGCTGTCTCCATGTGGTTAGCATCCGTTGAAATGGTAAAGGTTATCTGCCTTGATGTAGAAGCTGCTGGAAGACCAGAATCAGGCAGGTGTAGTTTTCTGTAACATTGGGGATTTACTATGTGCTAAGTATTGTGCCAACTGCCTTATGAGCCCTTGTGAACATTCTTTTTTTTAAAATATATTTTATTTATTTTTTTTACAGAGAGGAAGAGAGAGGGATAGAGTTAGAAACATCGATGAGAGAGAATCATCAATCGGCTGCCTCTTGCACGCCCCCTACTGGGGATGTGCCCGCAACCAAGGTACATGCCCTTGACCGGAATCGAACCTGGGACCTTTCAGTCCGCAGACCGATGCTCTACCGCTGAGCCAAACCGGTTTCGGCACTTGTGAACATTCTTTTTAAAAATACGTATTTTTATTGCTTTCAGAGAGGAAGGGAAAGGGAGAGATAGAAACATCAGTGATGAGAGACAATCATTGATTGTCTGCCTCCCGCACGTCCCATGCTTGTGATCAAGCCCACAACCCAGGCATGTGCCCTGACCTGGGAATTGAACCGTGGCCTTCTGGTTCATGAGTCAATGCTCAACCACTGAGCCACGCCAGCTGGGATTTGCACAAAGACTCTTGAACATCCTGGGAGGTCAGGACTGCACTAGATCACGCAGCTCCAATGGCGGAGGGAGTCTTGGCCACTCAGCACGTGGTGGAGCTCACGCTCCTCCCCCTGATGTGGCCCCCTCTCCACAGGGCGAGCAACTCACTCCACAGGTCCCGGGACTCCAGGAACAGAGACCACCCATCCCTACAGGATCACTCACAGGAGCAGACTCACACCGGTGCTTGTCTCCCAGCTAACAACACAACTGTTCCTTCTCTTCACGTCCCTCCAGCTCATCTCTTTGGCCCTGATGAGAGCCAGACGCCTGAGAAGAGCTCTCTACACCCACCTTCCCTTCTCACTTGAAGGCACTCCAGCCGTCTTTCTCCACACTACCTCCCCAGTACATCGCCTGCCCCTGGTCTCCATGTCGCCAGATCAAAGTGGGTTCTCAGCAGCACCTGACAGCAGTCCCCTCCTCCTGAACCTCTCTCATTGGCTGTCCCTCAGGTCTGCTTTTGGAAAAAAATCGGGACTTTTTTAAAACGCAGCAGGACACGGGACAAATTGTTAAAAATTGGGACTGTCCGCCAAAAGTAGGATGGACATCTGGTCACCTTACTTTTAAAGTAAGTCCATGCCCTCGACACTCCTCTGCTCAAAACCCTGCGAGGGCTCAGGTCTCACTGAGTCAAAGCCCTGTGCTTGCGAAGGCCCACAAGGCCCCGAGATCCCGACTTCATGCTGCCCTCCTTCTCGCCACTCTGTGCTGCCACGGTGCTCCTGGCCGCTCCTCCCTCCTCGGGGCCTGAGTGCTCCCTTCGCTGTCTCAAAGGACCACACACACACACACACCCCTTCCCTGCCTGCCTGCTGAAAGGTAAGCAGAGGGCAGGGACTTGCTTGGTTTGCTGCCATATTCCCAGGACTGTAAGCCCAGGTTGCTGTTGATTGGCTCTGGCTGTTCACTGGCTGAGTGAATCAGGGAGCGCCAAGCGCGGGCTCCCAAACTCACTGCCCGCGGCATCTCCAGCCGGGAGGGGCCGGCGGGCCGGGCCGGAGGGGCTGTCTCCAGTTCCTCTCCTCGGTCTCTGGGGGGTGTGTCCTGCACCAAGGCCCTGCGGTCCGGGGCTGAGGCCGGCGTGGCCCTCACCGCTGACCGATTAACGGTAATCCCTGCGTTCATCCGGCACGTTCCAGCTCACCGGGCGCTGCCGTACCCGGTACTGCCCCCGCTGGGCAGAGTGGGGACCGAGGCCGACAACTCCGAGGCCCCCAAGGTTAAGTTCTGGCCTGAGCTGCACAGGAAGTGGCTAAGCAGGGTGCTGGGCCTGGCCTCTTCCCACTGTGCCTGTGCCTGTGCCTGCCCAGAGCTATCTCACCCAGGGTGACCTCTCGGGCAGGAGGGCATGTTTCTGTTCTCTGAACAAACTACTGGGTAAAAAAACACGAGTCATTTATTCTTTGGTTGTCTACACAGACACTTAAATACTGTATCACTGCCACGCGGCTGCCCGAGCAGGCACCCGTGGTGGCTCTGAGCCCGCGTCCTGAGCCTCAGCCACATCCAGGGTAGCAGGCGTCCTGCCATGTCCACTCCAGGAGCAGTAGCACCGTGCGGGCGGCTGTGAGCAGGGCCCTCTCGCTGGGCAGCAGAGGTAAGTGCCCACTGCTCTGTGGCCCCACAGCCAGCCGGTCCAGGCCCCGGGCCAGTTTCCCTCGGCGGGTCTCATCCCCAGTCCACGGGGAGCTGGGCACGGTCAGAGCTCGTCCTTGGGCCCTGGCTCACTGCCGGAGGCAGGTTCCTCTGCGGCCTGGGGGGGCCCCTGCTGCGCTTCCTGGGGCTGCTCCTGGGGGAGGTCCATCTCCTCTGGGCTGAAGAGCATCTTCACCAGGTCATCGGCCTGGACCCTGTCCTGCAAGGACAGACCTGCTGCTCAGGGAGGCCTCTGGGCCAGGCGCTCCCTGCCGCGCAGGCGCGGCCTCCTCAGTGGCCTCCGAGCTCACCTCCTTCCCAACAGGCCCTGCTCTCCGGGCAAAGCCGGCTGAGGTGGTGCGCAAAGAGGAACCGAGAGCCGGGGCCAGCCCCCATCGTCCCCCTCCCTGGAGCCCCGCACAAGCAGGGAAGAGGGCCAGGGAGGATGAGGCAGTGAGCAGGATGGCACAGTGCACCTTCCACGTCTAAGCCGCCGGCAAGGGGACTGGGAGAGGCGGAAGAGAACAGGGCCCTTCCGGGGCAAAGCGGCACCAGCTGCCCTCACCCGCTCGCTGTGTCTGGCGTCCAAAGTGAACCACAGGGCGATGGCACAGCGCTGCCCCCTGGTGACGGCCTTCACTCCGTGCGGGTTTTCGGTGCCCGAGGAAAATCCCACGGCCCTTCCGCACTGGGGCTGCACCTCGGCCTGAAGGGCACAGAGGGAACACAGGACAGGCTGTGGCCTGGCTTCGGAAGGGACAGGGGGTCATGAGCGTCTAATGTGAGGGTGGCCCTCGGCCCAGCTTCCCAAAGACCAGGCTGAAGAGCAGAGGCGGCCAGGGGAGCGAGCAGCACAGCAAAGCCCCTGGTCGGGGGAGGGGAGCGCTGCCACCAGAAGACCAGGTGACCGCTCGGCCCTGCGCTCGGAGGGCTTCTGTCTCTCCGGGATGGGGACCAGGACACACTCACTGTTACGGTCTTGGCATCCAGTTCAGTGAAATAAAAGTTTCCTCCATCGAAGTCTCCATTTAGGTACAGAATGGCACTGGGAAAGGCAGAGAGATTCTCAACACAGACTTCCTCCTCCTCCCGCTCCCCAGACAACCCACAGGCTCAGTGCCTTCATCTCCGAGTGCTCTCAACCAGCAGCTAGACGGGCCTTCCATGGGAAGAAAGCCTTCTAGAGCCTTCTTGGAAGCCTCACAAATGACTCCAACCTTCCCACCCCGACCTCCTCGCCCCAGAGCGTCCACCAGGCCCTTCTCGGGGGGACTTCTGCACCAAGCCCACCTTCCTGTCCTCATCACACCACACTGCAAAGATCCCCTTGCTGTCTGGCCTCCTATCAGGAGGGCCTGGGGACAAGGGATTGGACTGGGAACCTGTGTGCATGGGTAGCTGCTGGGGGAGGGGCAAAGAGCAGGGCACCGGGGGCGGGGCTCGGGGGCAAGCTGGCACCTGTAGTCCCGGAAGGTGTAGGCAGGGGGCTCCTTGATGCACACGAGGGCCTCGGCGTTCAGGATGCAGTTGTCCACGTGGACCGGGTGGCTACTGTCCTTCCTCTCAGCCTGTGACTCTGGGACCCAAGGAACAGGTGTTAGCGCCGAGTGCCTCAGGCGGTATCACGGCTCTCCCGCTGGCTCTGGGGGGTGGGGGGAAAGGTGCTTCCCAAAATGGGTCTGGGTCTTGGGAACACCCAGTGAACAAGCGGGTCTCCAGCTGAGCTGTCAGCCCGGGGTCAGGACAGAATCACATGTGTGCCCAATGCCATCACTGAGAATCACTGGCCTAACCAAACTCCTGTAGTTCCCCGTAATTTGGCATCTGAGGACCTCACCAGCCTGATCTGATTGCTTCCCCTTAACCTCACTCTCCGGAACAGCAGCTTTCTTAATTCCCCCAGCTGCCGGGGTGCTCAGTGCCCCTGTGCACATCCTGTTCTCTCTGGCTTGAACAACCCTGTGCGTTCCACTCTTGCTATTCATCCCACCCGACTACCACTACCTCCTCCAGGAAGCCCGCCCGACTGCCCCGGAGGGATGACTGTGCTCGGCGAAGGCTGTGGGTGCGGGAGGCCCACCTTCGATGGCGGTGCGGCACACCAGGTGGGAGTAGGAGAAGTAGAGGGGGGTGTCCAGGCGGAAGTAGGACTCCATGACGCGCCGCACTTTCTCCGTCACGTTGTAGTACAGGTGGGCGCTCTGCAGGGGCACTTTCCCTTCCTGTCCCAGCTGCCAAGGAGACCGGCTGTCAGCTGCCCTGAACGCCCCGTGTGGGCCAACAGGGACCCGGGGCCCTGGGCTCCTCATCCCTGTGTCAGAGGAGCAGCCTCTCTGCTTCCCACGCACAGCACTCCAACACCTTCCGCTTTCCCTCGCCCTCATGCTTCTCTTTAAGAACAATCTGTGCCGAGACCGGTTTGGCTCAGTGGATAGAGTGTCGGTCTGCGGACTGAAAGGTCCCGGGTTCGATTCCGGTCAAGGACATGTACCTTGGTGGCGGGCACATCCCCCCAATAGGGGAATGTGTAGGAGGCAGCTGATCGATGATTCTCTCTCATCGATGTTCCTAACTCTCCATCCCTCTCCTCTCCCTTCCTCTCTGTTAAAAAAGAACCACCTGTGCACGTCATGCACAAGGGCGGGTCCCTTGAGACAGCTGTTCTTCAGAAAGCACTCACAGTTTTGGATATTGGTCTTATCTTGCTTGCCTCATTTTATTACTCTTGGTCTAACAGCCAAAACTCACTCAGCTTAATTTAATGTGGCCAGGCAGACATCTTTAACGTTTTCTACCACCATCCCCAGTTCCTGCCCCAAACCTGGCCTCACTCCCCCGCCCCTCACTCTTGAACCCCTGAGCACTGCCTCTACCTTGAGGGCTTTGAAGACAGTGACGCCATAGAACTTCTCGTTGGGGGTGTGTGGGGAGGTTTGGCCCCGGTAGCCGTCGCCTGATGTGGCTGCTGCCTACAAGCCCAAAGACAGGGGGCGTCAGCCAGGGCAGTGACCACCTCTTCTCAGGCGCCAGCCTCGGGGCCCGGAGTGGGGAAGCCGGGCTCTGGGGAGAGGTGTGGTCACGGGTCCCTCACATTGGTCAGCCTCTGCAGCTCCCGGCACTCATCGTCAGAGATCACGCCATCCATCACTACCCGCTGGGAGCCGTTCAGGACTTTGGAGTTCATGGTGAGATGGATGCCTTCATAGAGCAGGGGGCCACCTGCAAAGCAATGACGAGACTAAGTCCAGCAGCCACTCTGTCCAGAGACTCCGTGGGATACTGCTTCCGTCAACAGAAATTCCCGTTGTTTCCTGTTCACCAGAAAAATCTCTCATTTGGTCACTTCCAAAGGTAGGGTGGCCCAAAGAATAGAACTTGGAGCTGGAAGATGGGAGATCCAAGTCCTGATCCTAGCTCTACTCCTGACCAGCTGCTGGCTCTTTAGGCCTGTACCTCCCTGAAATGAGCTCCTGAATCAGAAAGAACTGGGTTTGACTCCTGCATTAATGAGCTGTGTGACACTGGCAAGGTACTTAACCTCGAGTCTTAATTTTCTCATCGGTAAAGTGGCATCTACCGCATGTGATATCTGTTTGATGTAAATAAAAATACAAACTAAATCCTTAGCATAATGCTTGGCACAAAATATATGCTCCAAGTTTAGCTACCATCATCATCCCCATAATTTATTTAACACTAAAGGCCTGGTGCAAGAAAATTCGTGCACTTGGGGGTGGGGGTGGGGGTCTCTCAGCCCAGCCTGCACCCTCTTGCATTCCGGACCTCTCGGGGGATGTCCACCTGGCGGCTTAGGCTGCTCCCTGGGGAAACGGGCCTAACCTGGCAGTCAGACATCCCTCTGACAGCCTGGGAGCCCTCAGCGGCCTAAGCAGTGGTCAGACATCCTTAGTGCTGCCAAAGAGGAGGAAGAGGCTCCTGCCACTGCTGCTGTGCTCGTGCTGTTAGCCCGGTTGTGGCTGAGTGGAGCCTCCCCTGTGGGAGTGCACTGAACACCAGGGGGCAGCTCCTGCATTGAGTATCAGCCCCCTGGTGGTCAGTGTGCACCATAGTGACCAGACGTTCCCAGTCATTCTGCCTTTAGGGTCAATTTGCATATTAGACTTTTATTATATAGGATGAGGATCTTACAATCTGCCCAACCCACCTCCTGGGGAGTGAAGAGAAGCAAGACAAATACCACTGAAAGCACTTAGAAAACAAAGGAAATCCGGACACATTCTTCTCACATTCTTGTTAAATTAATCACTTTTCGTAGAGCAAAGGCCAATGCTTCTCCTATTTCTCAGGAGTCTCTCTGTGCCGGGAACAGACTAGAGACTCAATCCAACTCCATCTATTTACTGAGACCACAGCGTGCTAGGCAAGGCAAGGGGTTCACTCCTGAAGACAGCCTATTTCAACAATTACACAAATAACCAGCATAAGACAGACCTTGTGGAAATACAAAGAATTCCAACAGAAAGAGGGAGGGGGCCCCAATTCCCCGGGGGAGGGGAAGCTTTGCAGGGTGTACCTGAGACGCCTCACAGGCAGAGACGAGAGGAAGTAACTTAGTAGGATGGGCATGAACAAAGATTTGAGGGCAAAGAGAGGCTCCAGGAACAGGAGCGGTCCTGATGGGAGGGGAGAAGAACATATGGTTAAAGGTCAGACTCCCTGTGTTTGGAAGACTGAGCTGAGCCTGGTGTGGAAAAGGCAAGGACAGACAGGAAGAGGGCAGACGAGGGCAGACAGGCGGCGCTGGGCCTGAAGCAGCCTGCGGCAGTGGGGAGAGAAACAGGCTGGGCTGAGAGGAGAAACAGAAGAGTCAGGGGAAGGCCTTCCTGGAGGCTGGAGGGGAAGGCCTGGGGGGAAGGAGGGGAGAACCAGAGGACACCTGCAGCTTCTGAGGCTTGGTGACAGGATGCATGGAGGACTGTGGGAGAAAACAGATTAGAATTAGTGAAACAGGGTAAGTTTGCCCTATGAATACTTATTAAACTAGTGTCACTGTGACAAGAGTCTAATTTCTTTCACAAAAGCCAATTCTCAGTGCCCTTCCCAGATGGAAGTCCTGTGGGCGCGTTAGGAGGGACACGAGGCAAGGTGAGGCCTGGCCCACGACGGCTTAGCTCCTGAGGCTGGCTCACCGTGAGCTTGGCACATCAGGGGCACATCCCGCTAGTGCGGGGCAGCTGCCTTGCTGCCGCCCCGACAGCCGCAGGGCCCTGAGCTCTGTGCTCTCACCTTCCCGGGTCAGCCTGCTCACATCCAGCGACTCCTTGGTCTTCTCTTCCACAAGCGTCTCAATCTCCTTCATCAGGTTTCCAATCTCCTGGGAGATGCGGGCGGCTGTTTCCCGTTCTGACCTGTGAGCACAGCTGCTCTGAGGACTGGATTCTGGGTCTGGCCCCGGCTCCCACCTCAACTTCCCAGATTGGACCTGCCCACCCCTTGCCGGGAGTTCACATCTGCCTGGGCTCAGAAGCCTCAGTGCTTCATCAGACCGATCCAAGCATGCAGTTCTTCAAGGTCCTCACTTCTGTTTCTCTTGTAATCTCTTGGGAATCACCTCTTCTGGAGTCCACGAGTCCTAAGGCAGGTCAGGAAAAATGAACAGTGCAGGGTGACCTACTTAAGCTTCCAGGTCTTGATGCACAGAACAGGGTCTACAGGAGAAGCCTCCTTATCACCTTTGTGGTCTCAGAAGATGAAGGGAGAGGTCTATGAACTCTAGTCGCCTCTGGCTAGCTGCCCAGAATTCCCCTTTGTCGTTTTCTGTCTCTCTTCCATGGGTTTCAAGATCCCATGTCTTGCCGGGACCGGTTTGGCTCAATGGATAGAGCGTCGGCTTGGGGACTGAAAGGTCCCGGGTTCGATTCCGGTCAAGGGCATGTACCTTGGTTGCGGGCATATCCCCGGTGGGGGGTGTGCAAGAGGCAGCTGATCGATGACTCTCTCTCATCGATGTTTCTAACTCTCTATCTCTCCCTTCCTCTCTGTACAAAATCAATAAAATATATTTAAAAAAAAAAAAAAAAAAAAAAAAAGATCCCATGTCTGGCCCACTCCCTGGAGTCACACAGCACACCACTTACCCCCCTCCCTTCCCTCCCTCACACTCCCGCATCCCCCCAGCTCCTGTGCCCTGGCTCACCGGATCAACAAAGGGAATTCCAAACACATCATAAGCAAAGAAAAGCAGTTCTTTCTCCAGCAGGCTTCGCTGTCGGTACTCCTGGGCGCTCTGAGGAACAAAGTACAGGAAAGTTCTGGAACTTGGCCCTGTGCGTTAGCGCTCGGTGTGCCCCGGGCTTTCTACACGTCACTCCCACGGTGAACCGAGGCTCCTCTCCATCACTAGCGTGTCAGTTCCCTGGTCTGCGACCAAGTCTCACTGCTGTGCTCACAGGCTCCTCCTGCCCGGCTCAGGAAGAACCTCTGAGGGCGGCATAACCAGGCTTCCCTTGAAGGGCAAAAGTCCCCTTCTTCCCCCGAAATCCCCATTAATCTCCAAGACAGAAAATCTGATGATTCTCTGGAGATGTGAAAATGCTTCTCAAAGGAGAGTTCCTTTTGATTTCTGCAGCGTAATGCTCAGAAAGGAAACCTCAGGAAGTGAGTAACTTGATTGTTACTCCCTGCATCCTTATAGCACAGTCTTCATCTGTAGAATGAGGACAGTAGTATCGATACTACAATACTATCCTCATTCTACGGATGAAGACTCTGAGAAGCAGGGGGATAGGAGACTTTTATTTTAGGGGACACTCTAGGGAATGGGAGAGAAGGGACCTGCCTTCAAACCTTGGTCTTTCCAATCCTAAAGCCCAGGTGCTTTTCATTACACCACTGCCTCCCCTCAGACTCGGGACAGACCATGCCCCTCCCTGGAGATGGGCAGCTGCAGCAAGGGCAGCGGGTCTGGCATCTGGCCCTCCCACAAGTGCGCACAGTAGGGCTTACCCAGGGCAGGGAGACTAAGTACCTTCTGGGTCACATCTTACCCTAGGTGCCCTGCTAGTCTCCAAGCAGCGGAAGGAAGGAAAAGAAAAAGAAGACATCGTCAGCTGAGATAAAAGATGAGGGCAGTAAGGAAAATGTTAACGGTGTCAATGAGTCCTATACCATCTACTACTATATTTACCCAAGAGGAAGACGGGAATTTCCTCCTGCAGAATGTAAGTGATTGGCTTCCTTTATCAAGTGCTAGATACCAGCTAGATATATTATCTCATCTAACCCTCCCAATAGTTAGGAGGCTGCTGGGGAGCAGATCCCCCTTCCACCATGTATTCATTCCACACCAGTCCCTGTGTCAGGAACTGGGCCAGCACTGGGATAAAACAAGGAGACAGGTTTCGGTCAGCACTACCAGCCATTCGCCACTGTGCAAGTTAACTCACCTCTTGGTGCCGACATGTCCTCATCTCTCAAAGGGAAAGAACAGCGCCTACCTCACAGGCTGGCGGTGATGATTGAGATGATGGGTGGAAGGCACCCAGCACAGTGCTTGGCTCAACAAATGCTCATCACCTTCTTCCCAGAAGGGGCGTTCTAGTTAAAAATGGTAGTTTGACCAAATGAGCTTTGTTCCCTCTCTACTCCAGACTCACTAATATGGCCATAAAGGAAAAAAAAAAAAAAAAAAAAAAAAAAGTGCCACCTCAAGTCCAGATGATCACCATCTAGTGGCCAAAGAGGACAACTGCAAGGTGACCCTCTCCCTGAGGGAGGGGATGGGCAGAGAAGGACTATTTCTATTGGAGATCTCAGGGTTCCAAAGCTAGGAAGAACCTTGGTATTTTTTTTTTTTCCAGGGTAGGCTGGTGATCCCACCCTCAATGAGTGAGAGAATCAAAGGAAATAAAAGCCGTGAAAGAATTTTGTAAGCTATAAGATGCCACACGCATTTGAAAGGTGGCGATTTTCAATAGCGAGCGCCACAACCACCAGAACGGGAAGGCTGTTACTACCACATCATCCACTTCCTTCTCCCAGTGACCAGAGGAAACATGAGCTCCCCGGCTGGCGTCCCGGCAGAGGACAGCATCCGTGTGTCCCTGAGTTAGGTGGACAGCACCGTGGTGTGTCTCCCAAGCAGGAACTTGCTGCCTAATTAGATAGGAAGAGGAGGGAGGAGTGAAGACACCCCCCACATTCTGCCACCTAGTCAGTTCCCCTCTGGTAGCCACTCACTCAGGCCTCTTGACTCCCCTCTGCACCCCCACAATAGCTTCCAGCTGGTCTCCTGCTTCCAGTACCTTCCCATTCTGAGTCATTCACCGTCACATCCTGTCAGGCTACTGCTTAAAACCACTATCTCATGGAACAGAGTCCAAGGTCCTGGTCGGGCACTTAAGACGCCTTAAAATCTGACCTTCCCGGGCCTCATCTCTGGTAATTCTCCATTACCACCTTTCATTAATACGGGACAATTATCCATGTTGTTTGCACATGCTGTTTTCTGTCTGAAAGGACCTTTCCTGCCTCGTTCACTTACTGTTTTTAAATATATATATATATATATATATATATTTATTTATTTATTGATTTCAGAGAGGAAGGGAGAGGGAAAGATAGAAACATCAATGATGAGAATCATTGATTGGCTTCCTCCTGCACGCCCCCTACTGGGGATTGAACCTGAAACCCAGACATGTGCCCTTGACTGGAATCGAACCCGGACCTTTCAGTCAGCAGGCTGACGCTTTATCCACTGAGCCAAACCAGCCAGAGTTCACTGAGTGAGTTTTTTATTATTATTATTATTATTATTATTATTATTATTTATTTTAAAAAATATATTTTATTGATTTTTTTACAGAGAGAAAGAGAGAGGGACAGTTAGAAACATCCATGAGAGAGAAACATCAATCAGCCACCTCTTGCACACCCCCTACTGGGAATGTGCCCGCAACCAAGGTACATGCCCTTGACCGGAATCGAACCTGGGACCTTTCAGTCCGCAGGCTGACGCTCTATCCACTGAGCCAAACCAGTTTCGGCTATTATTATTATTTTTAAAATATGTATTGTTTTATTTCATAGAGGAAGGGAGGAGAGAGAGATAGAAACATCAATGATGAGAGAATCATTGATCTGCTGCCTCCTTCATGCTCCCTACTGGGGATTGAGCCTGAAATCCCAGCATGTGCCCTTTACTAGAATTGAACCCAGGACCCTTCAGTCTGCAGGCTGACGCTCTATCCACTGAGCCAAACCAGCCAGGGCTCACTGACTGAGTTTTTTTTTAAACCAAATGTCAACAGCACTTTTGTGAAGCACTCCCTGCCCTCCAGATGACTGCTTTTCCTCCCTGCTTCCACTAGAGCTTGCTCTCACTATCACTATTATATATACACTAGAGTTCTACAAACTTTGGGTAACATGACTTTCGGTACCATCAATGCCCTAAGGTGTGTTTTGGATGGCACTGAAAAAGACCTGAGAACAATACATTTATAACTAAAAGAAATCCACAGAGTATCAACAACCAGGAGAAGAAACCTCAGTCTCCCTCCCACCCTTAACCTGTGGGCCCATGCCTCAGGGGTAATCCCGCTGAATAGTTTTTTATCAGAAAGATTACAATTTAAAATTTAAAGCATATATATATATATACATATATATATATATATGTATGTATTTTAAAAAAACAAACAGGATTTAATATATTTATTTATTTTAGATATTTAATTTTTTTTTCTTTACTTAAAATCATATCATGGAGACAATTTTATATTGGTGAACAGCTATCTGCTCATGCAATACAATAGTCTTGTAGGCCACTGAATGATGTATCATAATTTAATCAGTCTCCAAATGGATGGCAGTGAGCCTGCTTCCTTCTGGTGCACACCTGTGCATACTTAGCTGTGCATGCCTGTTCAGTACAGCTGCACGGTGAATCTCTGCAGTCCCACTGCCGGCTAAATGAACAGTCCCATTTACAGTCCCACCAGCAGTGCAGGCATGTGCCTGCTTTCTCCCCCCCTGTATTTCTCCAATACATGGGCTGTATAAATAACTGAGTGGCCTCTAGAGTAACTGTAGCTATTTACTCTTTTTTGACAAAGTGAAAAACTGGTACAAAGTTATAGCCGTTTTTACACACACTGTAGACGGGATGGGAGAGGCAGCAGGACACAGGTGATTGAAAGCCACGGTGATAAGACACCCGTTTCAGGAGGTGGCTGAGTTTGGAGGTGAAGAAACTGGCCACGTGCTACCTGTGTTCCAGCACAAGATCCCCGCGATGCTACCCGTCCACACAATACTTGGTACACACTTGTCAGCTCACTATCTCATACTCATTCTGTGCTGAAGACAGAGAAGAGCCATAATCCCATTTTATAGAGGGAGAAACAGACGCAGAGGGCAATGCAGAGTGCCTATGATCTCCATGATATACTGAAGATGACGTGGCTAGTAAGTGGAGAAGGGAGGATTTGAGTACAGACTAGTGACTTCAAATCCACCTCATTGGCCCTCGCTAGTTTGGCTCAGTGGATAGAGCATCGGCCTGCGGACTGAAGGGTTCCAGGTTCAATTCCTGTCAAGGGCACATGCCTGGGTTAGGAGCTCGATCCCCAGTGGGGGGTGTGCAAGAAGCAGCCAATCAATGATTCTCTCTCGTCATTGATGTTTCAATCTGTCTCTCCCTCTTCCTTCCTCTCTGAAATCAATCAAAGTATATTTAAAAAAAAACAACAAAAAACCTAACCATCTCATTGCTCTGGGTTTAGGAAGGAAAGGGTCCAGATTCTCTGCAAGGCATATACATAAATATCAAGGTTTATAGTATCAAATTCAGTAATTTAAAAACAGCAAATTTTTCGTGTTTTGAATTATAAATATAATACCCATTCACTGCAGGGAATTTAGAAGACAAAATAAGCAAAATAAAAAAATCACCCATAATCTCACTATCCAGAAATAACCATTGCTAACATTTCAGGGCATTTCATTTTGGTCACTGCATTACACAGATTTTTCTCCTTGTTTTGGAGGGAGATGGAAAATAATGTTGAGCCAAAACTGGTTTGGCTCAGTGGTAGAGCGTCGGTCTGCGGACTGAAGGGTCCCGGGTTCGATTCCGGTCAAGGGCATGTACCTGGGTTGCGGGCACATCCCCAGTAGGGGGTGTGCAGGAGGCAGCTGGTCGATGTTTCTCTCTCATCGACGTTTCTAGCTCTCTATCTCTCTCTCCTCCTCTCTGTAAAAAATCAATAAAATATATTTAAAAAAAAAGAAAAGAAAATAATGTTGAAAGAGGGAGAGATCAGACAATGGCAGAAAGAAGGGATAGGGAGGAAACTGGAGACAGAAAGCTTGTGAGTGAAAAAAAGAGCATGATGTTAAAAATGACAAATCTTAGCCAAGTGGTATCAAATCTCAAAGTAGGGGTGCCAAATAGGGGAAAGGCGTGCTGCTTGGCACTTCTGCTTTTCTTTGCCAACTCAGAGAACATGCCTCTGGGCCCCGATCATGCTAATTTATTATGCTGGTTAGGGCTCCAGCAGCTTCTCCATGCTTTCTCTACTCCTTTATTCTCTCAGTGACAAGCGCTCAATGGACTCCCAGCCACCCAGGCCCCCTGTCCCCCCGCACAAAATCAGTGCCAGCTCCCCTCCTCCACCCTGCTCTGCCCTCTGGTCTGGGTTCAGCTGGAACGTTCCTCACCTCTCGGGGGCCAATGGACCTGGCTTGCTCTTCTCCAAGCATGGCGGTATAGTAGGCCAGGTTCTGGTTCATCACCTCATCGTTGGGGAAGAAGAGGAGGTAGGTCTTTGCACATTCAATAGCCTGAGTATGATTCCCAACTGCGAAGGGAGAGAAAAGTGGCTGAGAAAGGCCTGATTCTGGGCGTCAGGAACCGCCAGTGTTCATTCTTAGCACAGATTTGGGGGGAGACACAGAAGAATAATATTGAAACAAAAGAATTTGAATCCTCAGTGTCCACATTTTATGGGCCCAGCACGCTTCCGCTGCGCCACTCTGCTAGGATACAGTGTCCACATTTTAAAAAAATTCACAAGTAATTCAAATGCTGGCCCCCAAATTAGACCAATTCCAGGACTATTCCTGTCTTCCTACCTTCTTTTCCCTTTTCAGAAGAGAGGGGAGCATTATAATAGCATATTGCCTCTTTGTTGGTATGGGTTATTTATAGTTGAACTATTGTATAAACATCACATACTCATGAATATGCTATAATGCTTAGCATATAGTAGGAACTCAGTAAAGATCTGCCGATTTGTTTCTCTGGATAATATTGATAGACACACACACACACACACACACACACACACACACGATCACACACCTGCCCCACAGCATCAGTGTTATACAAGGGGGAGGGCTGAGAAATGTCCTATGAGCTGGTTGTCCTAGCCATGCTGTAACAGTTCAGTTGCAAAATTAGATGATAAATGTCCTAGGAGGGATGAGAGGGAGTCCTAGAGCCTCCCTCCCAGGTGGTATGGGCTTCCTTGGCTGTGGCTTGTGACAAAGCACCCAGGGATCACCTGGCAGGGTGTCTTCCAGAGCCACAGAGAGAAGCCAAATGAGGTGAAGCACAGCAGACACAAGCCCTGCCTGCCTTGCTTTTGGCTTCTGATTTAAAAGCAGCGAAGAGGAAAGCCGGCCTTACTGTTATAGTAGGCAAACTGCAGATAATTATAATGTGACGGGAGGAAGTCTTCGAAGGGCTTCTCTCGACTTGGGTGGGAAGCCAGCTCCGTGACACAGTTCTGCTTGCAGCTGAGGACCTGGATGTAATGATCTGGAAAGAACCAAAGAGGGGGAATAAGGTCAATCTTCAGGTTTCAAATGCCCGTTAAGATGAACGAATTCAAATGGAAGCAACTGTCAGTCAGATTGCCAGCTTTAAGAGATTTAGAAATGAGAGTGAAGATGCTGTGTTATCAGCACGACGTCCTTGGGGCTGGGGTGGGGTGGAGGCTGGGCTCTGGGCAGCGCACCTGTGATGGCCTGGAAGAGGTCGGCGTTGTACTCCAGGTAGTTGTAGCCGTCATAGTCGTAGGGTCCTTCGCAGAGGGCCCGGCACTCCTCCTCCGCCACAAAGTACAGCTGCAGCGCCGCCTCCAGGTGGGGCACGGCTTCCAGCGGCTGCTCCTCTGAGTAGAGGCGCACCCCCAGCCGGAACTGGTCCTACTGGGAGGAAGCAGCACTCAAATGCAGGTCAGACAGCCCTCTCTCTCTCCTCCCCCATCTTCATGAGGGTCCTCATTTCTCACTCATCTCAGATTATGAATGGAAAGGGTGACCGCCATATAAGGAAGCCCTTTTGGAAAGGGTCTTGACTTGCTTCATTTGAAATGTAAAAGCATTTAACTAGATCTAGATGAAAAATGTGGGGGTTCATTTGTTTCACTTTTCTGTTGGGCTAAAGTTTTCAAAATACAAGTTTAATGAAAAAAATTGAATTCTTTTTTATTTTATTGATTTTTTACAGAGAGGAAGGGAGAGAGATAGAGAGCTAGAAACGTTGATGAGAGAGAAACATCAACCAGTTGCCTCTTGCACACCCCCTACAGGGGCTGTGCCTGCAACCAAGGTACATGCCCTTGACCGGAATCGAACCTGGGACCTTTCAGTCCGCAGACCGACGCTCTACCACTGAGCCAAACCAGTTTCGGCAAAAATTGAATTCTTAAGTGTTAGAATGTGGTCTGTGGCGATGACAGCAACTTTCCCAGCAGTGAGGGACTTGGGCATGGCAGGCAGCTGATTACAGACTCTGCTTTTGCTGTCTGTGGGACACAGCTCCCATTCCTGTGGACAACAGCCATTTTCACTTGTCACAGAATCACTAAAAAAACAACCCCAGACCTGTGTGTAGGTGTATAATCCAAAACCGTGTATGGCTGTATCATGTACTAGGTGTGCACGGTTTACTTTTAAAAGCAAAACCTTCATAATAAAAAAATATTGTGACTAGTAGATTAAAACGATCTATGCATGATATGGACTATCATACACCATTAAAATTGTGTTTTACAAGAAAATTTGAAGACATGAGAAAAGGCTCACGATACAATGTTAGTTCAAAAAGGATGATGAAAAATACACACAGAATATGACATCAAATTATGTTTTAAAATCACATACAGAAGACTTAAAATATAGGTCAAAATATCAACTACTGGTTTTTCTAAGATGGCAGTACTATAAATGATAAGTTCCTGTTTTATACTTCACTGCAATTTTCTAATGGTATACAACGAACATACATTACTTCTGCAGTCAGAAAACAACCCAAGAGTGTTGGGGAAGGGGGGAAAGAGATCAACCAAAGGACTTGTACGCATGCATATAAGCACAACCAATGGACACAGACACTGGGGATGGGATGAGGCACGACAAGGGGTAGGGGAGGCTGGGGGAAGGTCAATGGGGAAAAAAAGGAGATATATGTACTACTATATGTAATACTACAATAAAAAAAGAAAGAAAGAAAAGGATCTTGCAACAAGAAAAAGAAAAAAAAGAAAAAAAGAAAAAAAAGAAAACAACCCTAGTAAGTATCCCGGTAATAAAAAGAAAGGAGACAAAGTTTTCACCATATGAGGTTTGGCCTCAAGATCCTTGAAGTCAGCCTCCTTCACCCCCGACATGGTCTGGTAATAGTCCAGGTTCTGCCGCATCTCCATGTGCTCAGGATTGCCCACGAAGAAGGTGTGCGCTGCTGCTACGGCTTTCTCCAACTTGTTTATCTAAGAATGAAGCACAAGAACATGTTTCTCACATCCAAGCCCTGAAGGTCTGTGTCCACGTGTGCAGTCCACAGTAAACAGGAAATCTCAGCCTTCCTGAGCCTTCCATTCCGTGTGCCCTCGCCCCTGTCCGCCCCAGAAAACACCTATGGCAGGAACTACACACCAGAGATTAGAAGCACAGGGCCCTGGGCAGATTTTTAGTTATTTCCCAAATCGGGATTAAGGGATCCCCAAATTACGGAGGTAATGCTTCCACAGTGTAAACATTCTATTTTAAAACAAAGGTCATATTGTAGAAGGAACGCTATAGGAGACTGACTGCCCAAATAATGTAGTTAGAGGTACTGACTGAGCTCAAGAAAATCTCACATCGATGTTTCTAACTCTCTATCCCTCTCCCTTCCTCTCTGTAAAAAATCAATAAAATTCATTAAAAAAATCATAAATTCTCTTAAGTCCATTCCTTTTATGGATTTATTCTCTCTCCATCTTTCAGCATTGCTCCTGCTTTCTCTGTTCTCCCCCATCTCCTCACTCCACCCCCAGCCCTTCAGTTTCCTTCTCACGTGAACAACTGCCCTCATCTCCGAATGGTTCATCCTGCCACCACTTTCTCCTTCTCCCAAGACTTATTCCACATGGCTTCCAGGGTTGGCATTCTAAAACGCATTCTGGTGCTGGCTCCCTGAAGCCTACAGAATTCTCTTCCCAGTTGGCCTCCCTCTACCTGGAAGAGGCTGCTCTCCTCTAGCAAAATCCAGAATCAGCTTCAAATGTCACCTCTTTTTTTCAAGTCTCTCTAATTTCTCTGAGACAAAGCTAGATCTCCATCCTCTGTGCTTCCACAGCCCTACATACATATCATTTTAGTAACCCTCATTATAGTGATTTTTAAAAAATGTATATTTTATTGATTTTTTACAGAGAGGAAGAGAGAGGGATAGAGAGCTAGAAACATCAATGAGAGAATCATCAAGTAGCTGCCTCTTGCACACCCCCTACTGGGGATGTGCCCGCAACCAACGTACATGTCCTTGACCCGAATCGAACCTGGGACCTTTCAGTCCGCAGGCTGACGCTCTATCCACTGAGCCAAACCGGTTTCGGCTATAGTGATTCTTAACAGCAACGCAAGACAAACAAAAAAAAACACCATAAAGTCAAGCATTTTAGTTACTTGCACAAGAACTGGTATTCAATAAATGTTTGTCAAAGACTTTTAAAAAGTGCTAAGTGACATGACTAAAGATAGCACAACTGTTTTGGTTTCAAACCCAGTGCTCTCCTGAGTAACTAGGAGGAATGGAGCAGAACTGTGCACACAAAATTTTTGTGGAGAGGTGGGAATCTGGGGTTCCAAAGGTTTTCTAAGTCTCTCTTTAGGTTGAATTGAAAGTCTATCAAACTATGGACATAACAGATAGGAAGCACAGCCCCTTCTTTTTCCACCCAATAAAATAGGGCTAATAAGTAGTCCCTACCTTACAGGATATTGCCAGGATCTGGGCAAATGAATTAAACGCAAAGTGTTTAAAATAGTGCTGAAAGCATGTGCTGGCTATCATCATCATCATCACCACCACCATCATCAAGCAAGCCAGGAGCGCTCCACATCCTTGTATACTTGGAGTAAGGCACTCTGGAACTCCTAAAACTACCACTCATTTCTTTGGAAACCTGACAGCTAGCCAGAGGGTCCCCCACAGGGCGGGGCCAGACAGCCCCTACTGGCGACGTGGCAACCTCAGGTCTTGAGAGAAAGCTGTGGTACTCGGGCAGCAGGAAAAGCATCACTGAAAAGCGAACCGGAAGGAAGACAGTTGCAAAAAGGTCCGGGCTTCTCACTCGGACAACTACAATGAAATCAGGAGGAGAAACCCAAGCTGCCACTTTAGTTCCCTTTGGGAAGCCTGTCGGAGAAACACGGGGCCAAGTTTTGGTTGATGGGTGCCCTAATCCTAGGCTAGACCTCTGGGGCTGCCATCTGATGATGCGAAGCGGGCCAGGCAGGTCTCCCAGCAGGGTCCTTGCCCTCCCTGGGTCTGAGGAGAGTTCCCAGGCCGAGACCTCCTTCCGTCTCTGCGGATACTCCCCGCTCCCCTCCTTCTCCCGTCAAGTCCCCCCCCGGGTCGCCTTCCACTTCCACTTAGCCCCCAGAAGGACCCCCGCCAGCGGACAGGTCTGCACCTTGAAGTAGGCGACCTGCAGGTAGTTGTAGGGACTCCGCTTGTGGAACTCCAGCTCCAGCTCTTCGCTGAGCGAGTGGGCGCCCGGCGGCCCCAGGCAGCGGCGCAGGCAGGCAGCGCGGCGCAGCAGGCGCCCGAAGAAGCGCAGGTCGTGCAGGGCAGCGCCCGAGGCCTGGGTCAGGCTCGGGGGCGACTCGGAGTCCAGCTCCCACGGGAAGTCGGCGGCGCACCGGGTGCGGCAGCGCAGGCGGAGGGCGCGCAGGGCGGCCCGCGAGCGCAGCGCCCGCTCCATGCTCAGCACCACCCCGGGCCAGTCCCCGCGCGCGTAGGCCGCGGCCCCCTCGGCGAAGAGCAGATCCGGCGCCAACATGTCCCACTCCGCCTCGGATTCGGCATGGGCTCGGGAGGCGGCGGCGGCGGCGACGGCCAGCAGTGTGGTCAGTAGCTTCCACACGCGTGCCGCCATCACCTCCTCAGACCTAAGCCGATGGCTCGCTACCCGCCACGGAGACCCGAGTCCCACCCCCAGGCAGCCCCGCCCCGCCCCGACGGAAGCCCCGCCCCTGAAGGAAGCCCCGCCCCCCAGCTGGGCGCTGCGTGTACTGGAGGCTTGCAGGGCTCCACCCCTCAGCGGAACCCTGTGCGTCACTCGGAGTCCCGCCTCTGCGCTCCGCATCTCTGACGCCATTGGCCAGCGACCAAGGAAGCTCCGCCCACGGGCTTTTATGCGCATGCTCTTCCGCCGCGGCCCACTGGAGGTAGGGAAGATTAGCTGCTGCCATGGAGGACCCAGCGACGCCCGGGGGGACTGAAGGGGTCCCTGGAAACCAAGTTCCTTCGGCGACCCATCCGGGAGGTACGCGGGGCGGGAATCAGAAGGGGAAGAGAGTCCCTCACGGGGCAGCTCGTCTGCCGGGATCCGCGGGAGGCCGAGGGCGGGCGCTCACGGCCTGTGTTCCCGGGTGTGTGTCGCAGGAGCCCTGGTGGAGCTCACCCCGAACCCCGCCGGCCTGGCCCTGGTGAGCCCCTACCTCACCCACCGGGCCGGGGACCCCTTAGACCTCGTGGCGCTCGCAGAGCAAGTACAGAAGGTGAGGAGGCGCGGCCGGGGACGTCAGTAACCATGTTCCTCCACTGTTGGTCCTGCGCCTTACGACTCGGACCCCACCACCACCACTTAGTGTGGGGTAGCAGTGTCCTTGTCTCCATCTTCCACACAGGAAAACCTGATTGTCACTGCGAGTCTGGTCTCGAACTTGAGCTGAGACCAAAGGTTCCTTCAGCGGCAGCTGGCGTGCCCACAATCTCCCTTGGTGGGAAGGTTTGCGCAGCACTGTCAGTGTTCATGATTTTTGGGGAGCCTTAGGACAAGCCTGTGAGGTAGGCAGGACAGAAGTTGTTCTTTTCATTTGACACTTGAGAAGTTTCCTGGGAAGTTTCCAGAACACTGTTATGCAGGTTCTGCAGCGATGCATAGTCTCCTTAAAACTGTCTCCCCATAAGATCTTTTATCTGTGACCTGAGAGCTTTTAGAAGTTAGCATCTAGAAGGGCAATGACCCTAGGTTGGCCTCTGTCCTACAGGCCCAGTGCATGGACATTGATTGCTAAAAGAGTAAAATAAAGAGGAAATGTGACATAACGGGAAAAGCATTGGAATTTACACACATGAGGTTTTTTGTTTTACATTTTTTAATTAAATTATTATCTGTGTACATATTACACACATGAGTTTTAATCCCTAACTTGTGCTATGACTTCAGGCAAATTACTTTTCTATGGTCCTCAGCTTCCTTATAAGATGCAGAGTTTAGACTTAGGAGAGCTCCTAGATCCAAAGCTTTAAAAGAACCAAATTCCATCTAATCTCTTACCAAGACCTCCAGTTATAGAACCTTCTTCAATTTCTACTGAGTCCTGCTGCTTTAAAGCTTATGATAGTGCCCTGGCGGGTGGCTCAGTTGGTTGGAGAGTGGTCTATACCAAAAAGTTGGTGGATTTGACCTCTGGTCCAGGGGCAGATGGGAGACAAATATCTGTCATATCGATGTCTGTCTGTCTGTCTGTCTGTCTCTCTCCCCCCCCCCCATATCCTCAGGTCCTAGCTGATTTTGCTCAGTGGATAGAGCGCCAGACTGCAGACTGAAGTTTTGGGTTCAATTCTGGTCAAGTGCACATGCCCTAGTTGTGTGCTAGATCCTCAGGAGGGGGGCATGCAAGAGGCAGCTGATCAATGACTCTCTCATCGATGTTTCTTTTTATCATCATTGATATTTTTCTCTCTCTCTTACTTTCCCTTCCTCTCTGAAATCAATACAAATATATTAAAACAACAACAACATATCCTCAAGTGAGGATTAAACAAATAATAGCCATGGCTGGTGTGGCTCAGTAGTAGAGCATCAGCCCACACCAAAGGATCCCAGGTTCCATTCCCTGTCAAGGGCACCATTCCCCAGTAGGTGGAGGCAACCAATCTATCTGTCTCTCACATCGATGTTTCTTTCTCTTCCTTCTCTTTCTTTCCCCCTCTAAAAGTCAATGGGGAAAATATCCTCTGGTGAGGATTAATAAAAATAATAATAATCCTGCCGAAACCGGTTTGGCTCAATGGATAGAGCGTCGGCTTGGGGACTGAAAGGACCCGGGTTTGATTCCGGTCGGGGGCATGCACCTTGGTTGCGGGCATATCCCCAGTGGGGGGTGTGCAAGAGGCAGCTGATCGATGACTCACTCTCATCGATGTTTCTAGCTCTCTAGCTCCCTTCCTCTCTGTACAAAATCAATAAAATATATTAAAAAAAATAAAAATAATAACAATAATCCTATATAATAAAAGGCTAATACGCAAATAGACTGAACCGGGGAGCCACAGGTCGCTGATGTGCCCCGCTCAGCCAAAAGCTGGGCTCACTGCTGGTGAGTGCAGTGGTGGTGGCGGGAGTCTCTCCTGCCTCCGTGGCAGTGCTAAGGATGTCCAGTTGTCGGACAGCCTGCCCCCTCCCCCAGGGCTCCTGGACTGCGAGAGGGAGCAGGCTGGGCTGAGGGGCCTCCTCTCCCCCATTGCATGAATTTCGTGCACTGGGCCTCTATTAAAGCTTATAATATACATTTGGCCTTGATAATGTTCAGAGATTTTTGTATAATAATGTGCTTGAATTCCCTCACCATATACATCTCTGTACGTCAGGGTTTTTAATTTTTTTAAATTAAGAAATATTCAAATGTTTAGGAAAGCTCCTTTGATTTAAACGTTGTGCCTTCTTTTTTCTAGATAGGTAGGGAGCAAAGTATAACTTTTCTGGATTAGAAGAATGTCACGTGTCTGTTTAATCAGATCACTCTTATTGGGAGGAAGGCTTCCAGGGACAATTTTTAGGCAAACATTTTCATGGGTCACTGAGTAACCATGTGTATTACAATGTCCTGAAACAAAGAATGAAGGGATACAGTTTCTTTCTTCAGCCTATGGTCTCGTGAGATACAGAGGATACATTATTGTGGTGCTTCATTGTTTGAGAAGGTGAAGCAAAAACACTAGAGACAAACAAATTGAATCAAGAATATTTACTGCCTGTATACTGGGCAGTAATGTACTTTCCAGCAGGACTGATCTCTGATGTGCCTTTTAATTATTAATATGTGTGTAGAAAGCTCTGAAATTTGTCATCAGACTGATCTGTGTTCAAATCTTCAACTGCTATTGATTAGCTGTGAAACCTTGGACAGGTTGTTCCACCTTTCTGAGTCTAATTCCTAAAATGAGAAAGTCATATCCAACTTCTATAAGGCGTTATGAGAATTAAATCATAAAAATGTAAAGGGCCTCAGAAGGATTTGGGCCAGAGTTTATGCTTAGTAATTATGGGTACTCTCATTTCTGTTTTGATTAGGCTCTTGTGTTTACAAGGAACAGATTTGCTGCCACCACCTTAAGAAAAATGAACTACTTTAGTTCTAGAAACCAGCTACTCTATCATTGGCCATAAGGTACCTCATTGTCTTTGGAACAAAATGAACATTCTTTTGTCTTTTGTCTTGGGCCGTGATCCGGTCCCTGCCCTCTTTTTCACCCTCCCCCTTCTCACCCCTACTAACTACTCTTCAGCTGCACTGGCTTCAGAAATGCCTGGAAGCTTAGCCAGTTTTTTGCATGCGTGTCCCTTTCATTCAGATCCAAGACAATGTCACATCCTGCCTGAGGCCTTTTGTCTGTAAAAGGCCATATCCTACCCCATCTAAATTATGAGTGAGTGCCTCTGAAACCGGTTTGGCTCAGTGGATAGAGCATCAGCCTGTGGACTGAAATCAGGTCCCAAGTTTGATTCCGGTCAAGGACATGTTCCTTGGTTGCGGGCACATCCCCAGCAGGGGGTGTGCAAGAGGCAGCTGGTGGATGATTCTCTCTCGTCAATGTTTCTCTCTATCCCTCTCTCTTCCTCTCTGTAAAAAATCAATAAAATATATTGAAAACAAACAAACAAACAAAAAAAAAAACACAACCGCATTTCATGCCTAGCACTTTCCAACACTATAAAAGTCTTTTAAAAAAATAAAAAAATAAATAAATTATTAGTGAGTGCCTCTACACATGGGTTCCACTTCCTGCAATCCTCATCGCTCCCTGTTATTAAACCAGTTATTTCATTTGTTTTCTTTGATCCATTTCTATCACAGGATTATGGCTGTTTCCTTCATAATAGTGCATCATTATTCTAAGTACATGTAATATTAACTTTAATTTTTGGTGTCTGTATTACTCACTGCAGGGCTGTGCTATATAATATGGTAGCTACTAGCTATATAATAGCTTTCGAGGACTTGGAATTTATGGTTAGTGCAACTGAGAAACTAAATTTTAAATTTTATATAATTTTAATTAACTTAATTAAAAAACCTGATAGTTATTGGAAACTTTTACCCATAAGTATATTTGGAACAATTTGAGTATATGAATCAACTCAACTGTAAATTTTATGAAGTCCAAATATAGATTAAGTATTTCCAATGAAAATTTAGCATCCAAAATTGATAGGTGCTGTGAGTATAAAATATATGTATTTTATATGAAATGTAATTATTAATATGAAATGTAAAATATCTTACTTTTATTATTTTTAAAATATATTTTTATTTATTTCAGAGAGGGAAGGAGAGAGAGATAGAAACATCAATGATGAGAGAGAATCATTAATCAGCTGCCTCCTGCACGCCCCACACTGGGGATCGAGCCCTCAACCCGGGCATGTGCCCTGACCGGGAATCAAACCGTGACTTTCTGGTCCATAGGTCGACTATGCTCAACCACTGTGCCATGCCAGCAAGGCTTATTAACAATTTTTAAAATATTAATTACATGTTGAAAATGATAAGCTTTTGATATATTGGTTAAATAAAATGTTATTAGAATTAAGTTTAGTTACTTTTAACACAGCTACAAGACAATTTAAAATTACATATGCAACTTGTTTTATATTCTAACGGACAATTGTTTTAGATTTGAAAGCTAGGAGAGATGATGTAATCTTG